TTAGGGCGGGTTTGGGTTGGTAAAATGGGTAATGGGTATAAGTGAGTCAATCCATTTATACCCATTTTATTAGATGAGTATAAATAGGTAAGTCAAAAAATGAATTGGGTAACCCAATTACTCATTTATAACTCATTTATTTTAACTTTTTGTAAATTCATTTAAATTCATATTTGCAAACTAAGTTATCAATTTATACCATCCTTTGCACCCATCATTAGTTTTAAATATTTATTTATAATGCTCAATAAACCTAATTATCAATTTTTTCCCATATGTACTCTATGTTGCAAATTTACATACTATTTAATAATTAAACAATAAGAATATAAAAATTTGAACTAAGTACTATAAAAGTTAACATGAAAACTTAATCTCAAAATTTTGAACTTATAACATTTTTTCGTGTGTAAATTTAAATTTTCATTTTGGAAAAATAAGAAAAGAGGTTAAAACTTGTCATAAATTAGTAATGCTGAAAAACGAGCAAGTTAACAAACTAAGAGAAAATAAAATGATAAGATAAAATCAACAAATAATAATAATAATGTAACAAAAGTAGTTAACATCATGACAAAATGAAAATTTTGAAAAAAAAAATGGGTGGGGGAAGATAGGAGGTTTGGGGGAAGACGATTCTAAATGGGTTAATTGGATTTGATGTGTTACTCAATAATACCCATTTATTATTAAATGGGTATTATTGGGTCACCCATTTATATCCATATGGAAAAATTTAAGATACCCATACCCATCTATTTATGGACGAGTATGTATAAACTTAGTTAAATGGGTTTGTTTGACAGTTATAGTTGTACCCTCTGGAAAAACTCTTTAAAGTGATCATCTTTTTGCTCCACTTCGGTTGAAGATATCATTTTACAGATATTCGACATCTCATGTGTTAGAATCCAACCTGGATTGTTAAAGTTAATTTGATAAACCACAAAAGTAATAACGATAATTATAATAAAATGTAAACAAAATAATAAAAGACAAAGAAATAAAAATTTACGTGGTTCGGTCAATTAAACCTGTCTACAGCAGGAGGTGAGCAAATTCCAATAAAGAAGTATACAAAGTTTAAAACATATTCCAAAACAGGAAAGAGACAATACAAAAAAGAAATATAAATTGAGACAAATGGAAAAATCTCCCTGAGCTGTCTGTCTCTCGGGGTTTAAGCAATGTAGTGTGGTGCAATCCAAGGCTTTTGAAGTCCCTCTTTTTATAGGCAAAATTGCGACTGAAATTTGTACACTATATGAACCAAGATTATTGCAGATTTTCGACTTCAAAGGAAAACAAAACTTGGCCTTCATATTAGTGGTTGAGCTACTACTATGGGACGGTGGAAATTTAGCTTCTTACCCCATTTCATCTGACCAAAAGACATGGAGGATGGAAAGCCACTTGCATGCTATTTAATGCTAACACATCTCCACCTTGATTTTGCATCCGATATATAAAAAATCGAAAAAATAGTAAACTTGTTCCACCTTGTTCTTAGGAGCCATAGCGAGCTAATATCACAAAAGTATCAATGGATCTCAATAGATAAATTATAAAAGTTTTAATAAATTCTAACGAGTCAAAAAACGAAAAAAGATTTAGCAAATTGATCCAATAGACAGCCAAAATCACAAAAGCCTTAATAGATCCCAAGGAGTGAAAAATCATGAAAGTTCCAATGGATCTCAACGAGTCAAAAATCACAAACGGCTCAATAGATTCCATCGGGAAAAAAATCATTAAAGTCTCAACAGCACATGATAAAATTGGAATCAGGCAAAATTAATGTGAAAACAACAGCAGCACCTGGAATAGTAGATCCCTTCAAAATATATCAAGTATCAGACTTGTGCACCTTCGTAACAACAAGAGCACCTTGTGTGACTTTTAGAACTCCACCTTCGGCTGCGTACTTACCTCCATTAAACTCAAAGGTGCCCAAAGATGAGATTTTTCTTCAAATGTGGAATATATCTAGCACCAATGAGCATCCTAATGGTACTGTCATGCATTTTAATTTGAACTGTTATCAACAACTTTACAGACTGCATTCTTGGCAGTTAAAACAACTCCACTTTCACTTGATTCATATGTTAAAAACCAATCCCTAATAGGCACATGATACGAACAATCGAATCTAAAATCTACTCATTGTTTGACTTTAAATTATTTTCACTTGCTAAGATAATAGTTTCATATGGCCATTCGAGATTAATGGTATAGCTCATTTGAAAAAAAAAAAGAAAAGAAAAAGAATAGTTCCATCACCCTCATCAGCCACAATACTAGCCTCGACAGTTTCATTAATTTTCAAATCACTTTTCTCTTTAAGATTTTCTTTCTTTTTCAATTTAATGCATTTAGAGATTAAATGGTGCCTTTTGCAACAATGTTTGCACACCGAATTTTTATGCGTGGAACTACCCCGAAAAAACAAGGCATCTGTTTGACTCTCTCTAGTTTTCCCAATAATATCCTTATTAATATGTTCTTTAGATTTAAGGATAAACTTAATTTCTGTGTAAGAAATTAAATCTTTACCATAAAGCATTGTTTCTCTAAAATGCTTAAATGACTAGGGTAGAGACCACAACAATAACAGAGCTTAATCCTCATCCATAATTGTAATCTCTATATTTGCCAAATTTATAATAATGAAATCAAATTTATTAAGATGCAAAATTATAAAAATTATAGAGAAAAAAAGATTAGACATATGAAACATATATAAACTTTGCTTAAAGTAGAGCCAATTCACCGTCGTCTTCTTCATGCACAAAAGCTCCAAAAAATCTTACTAGTCTTTGGTTATCTTTTCTTAAGTAACTTCACACAAAACCCCATGTACAAAAGCTCCAATATATCGCACAAGTCTCTGGTTGTCTTTTCTTGAGCAACTTCATGCAAAACCTCACCAGAGAGGGGTTAGAATAATTACCGAGAGAGTTATTATCCTTTCTTCGAATTGCTCATCTGTAATTGTTTCTATATTTTTCTCCTTTTTGAGCAGCACTACTTCTACTCTGTCTTGGATGAGAAAGCTTTCATCTTAAACTGCCACAAACCAAAATTGACACTTTGTTTAAATTTTTCAATAGAGGTTGTCATTATTGTCACAACGATTGTCAAAAAACTTAGCTCGGGATAACTGTTCTAATAACAATTTGTTAGGATTCGGCCACAGGTAATTCGGAAAAGTTGATTTGACAATCCACAAAACTAATAACGAAGGCTGTATAAAATGTGGAGAAAAATAATAAAAGACAATGATACAAAGATTTATGTGGTTTGGTCAATTAGACTTACATCCAAGGGAGGAGGTGAGCAAATTCCACTATGACGAAGAAGAACACAGAGATTAGAACAAACTTCCTAGTCTCCCAAAACAAGAAAGAGACAATGCAAAAGTGAAACTCAAATTTAGGCAAAAGGAAAAGTGTATGGCCAAAGCAACAAACTCAACTATAAACGGGTAATAGACGAATGCAAAACCTAACAAACAAACGCAACTATAAAGAGGGTAACATAACCCTCGTTTATAGTTTCACCGGCGATTTGGTTCTTTCTATATTGGCTTAAGTCCATTTGTCAAGTCACATCTAATGGGGTGTTAATAAACTAAATATCCTGCCTCAATTTTTTAAGAATTTCCAATAACATTAATAAGATCTCGAACTATTCCACTCATGGTCAATTAATTTTGAGATAAAAACTCAAATTCTTTATCACACATAGTTTTAGACCAATGGCACCTCCGGTTGCTACTAGTAACCACATGGTGCAATAGATGGCTTCCAATAACATTAATAAGCTCTTGAACTGTTCCACTAATGGCCAATTGATTTTGACACTGAGCACCGGTTGCTACTAGTAACCATATGGTGCAATAAATGGCTCAAATGGGGCAGATACTGAATTACTAATTACCCCAAAAAAATAAAACCCTAATATAGAGTTATTGCTATAGAGTTAAGCAACTATTTGTGTTTCCTGTACAAACTTTCGTCCTTTTTTTTTTTTTTTTTTTGTGTGTCAATTGACACTATTCCTACACTTACACTAACCTATTAAAGTGAGGATCCATTTGAATCAAGGAAAATTGATGGGAACTGAACTATCATCATATCAGACAAGTGCAATATACACTCATTTGGATTTGAAGAAGCCACATATTAGTGGCAAGTGATGGGAGATAAGGGTCGAACCTTGACCTCCCACCCCACAAAGACACTTAAAGGTCTTTGTGGTGGTCAACAGTTTAAGAGACCATTGGTTTTGTACAAACTTTTATAAAATACTAGTATTACAACTTGGCTCCAAAAAAACAAGTATCTCGAAGGATGAAAATTTACATCTCCCGGAATTTTATTTTTCTATATTTCCTTTATAATTTTGGAGAGACCATCCCCTTGACATAATAGATAGTTGAAGTTTTAGTTATTATTGCACTGAGTCACTCATATTTCCAATGAGATGTTTACCATTATGACACAAAATTTTGAGCTACAATTCTGTGAGGACGTCATTTGCATTTGGAAAAGTAAGAAAAGGAGATAATCGAGTCAAAGTCAAAATTGGAAACATATGGTGAACGGTTTAATCCCCAAGAACACTTACATATGTTGATGTATATGGTAACATGGTTGAACAGATTATTCATGAGCTTGTGAAGGCACCCCAACAAAGCACGAAAGCCAAAAAAAAAAAAAAAAAACTTGTAGTTCAGATAAACAAAAACTCTAAATAGCAAAACCACAATACACTTCATCGTTAGTGATTAAAAACAACACAAAACAGGATTTACAAAAAGTTCTCCTGACTAAAATCCATTATGTGACTTAAGTCCCAAATATTTTCTTTTGTCCTTTTTTCTTGGAGTTTCAAATGAGAATAGTCCTACTATCAGGAAACATTTTGAGCACGATTCTATGAGCATATTTATCATTTCGGCTTGAAAAAAGCAAGGAAGGGAATGAACCCAGTCAAAATGATAAAGATATTTTGGTGCACGCATTATGATATTTTAGTCATACAACAACTGAATGATAAGTAACTGATACAACCATTACACAGCAATAAGCAACAAATAGTTGAAGATAAGCGTATTAGGTCTTCTCTTTTGTTTTGTCGTTTTTGGAGCTGAACCGTTGATCAGATTTGCTGAACTAGTCCAAGAGGGGAGAGAGATATCCACATGAAACATGCATGACAATCTAATGAGAAATCTCACATGAAACACGCATAATGATCTATTTGCTGTTGAATTCCAGCGTCAACCCGGATTCCCCAAGCTTTTCTTGAAACAATTTTTCAAGTCGGTTGGCCATGGAAGGAGTTAGTACATTTACCCAGTCACCAACTTCTGCCTTCCTGAAAAAGGAACTATGCTTGGCTCTAAAAGCGGCTTTTATCTCCCCCTCCTTGTTACAGTCCAAATTCTTAAGATTTTCGAAGCTGCAGAGCATTGCTATCTCTTCAACCAAACCGGCTTCCTCTTCCTCAGCTGAAAATGGATATCCTAAAAAGTCAGCTATCTTCTTCACGGAGCTATTGATATCCTTTTTTAGATCCTCATACTTCAAAAACAACACTTTTTGAGGGTTTTTCAAGCTTGCATCCCAATATCCTAAACAATGGTCCCAGAATGGACCATACGGGTGTATGCCCTGACAAAACTGTTCAAAAGGTACATCAATAGACATCGATGGGCTTGAAATACGACCATTTTGCAGTAAGAATTGCAACACTGAAGTGAACACATCCAAAGGGTTTCGGCACAGGTAGATGATTCGACAATTGGAGCAATCCAAGATGCTGCTAGGAAGGAATTGATAAGGGAGGTGAGTAGCGAGGATTCGTGGGCAAGGCATAGAGTCTATATCGGGAATATTACCATCCTTGTACAGATATATCTCGAGAAAAGGGACGAGATAATGAGGGTTGGAGAAGAGCAAAGGGCTCTCATCGACTGAATGATTGTTGCGGTTAACAATACTGAAGGTGAGGGCTTTAAGCCATGTGGTTCCTGATTTCGGCATGGTGGCCAACATAATGTCAGAGTCAATGGCTTTGAAGTGCTTTTGAAAGGTTAATGTAGCTTGAAGTAAATCTGCACCAAACCAAACGCCTTGGTAATTAGCCACCAGGCCCCCTTCTATCGGAATTATGCTTAGCTCTAAAAACAGTTTGTATCTCCCCCTCTTTGTTACAGTTCAAATTCTTAAGATTTTCGAAGCTACATAGCGTTGCTATCTCTTCAACCAAACCTGCTTCCCCTTCCTCAGCTGAAAATGGATGACCTAAAAAGTTAGCTATCTTCTTCACGGAGCTAGTGATACTTTTTTTTTAAAATCCTCATACTTCAAAAACAACACTTTTTGAGGGTTCTTCAAGCTTGCATTCCAATATCCCAAACAATGGTCCCAGAATGGACCATAAGGGTATATGCCCTGACAAAACTCTTCAAAAGGTACATCAAGAGACGCCAATGGCCTTGATGCAAAACGATTTTGCAGCACAAAGTGCAGCGTAGAGGTGAATACATCCAAAGGGTTTCGGCAAAGGTAGATGATTCGACAGTTGGAACAATCCAAAATGGTGCTTGGAAGGAATTGATAAGGTAGGTGAGTTGCAAGGATTCGCGGGCAAGGCATAGCATCTATATCTGGAATATTACCATCTTTCTACAGATACATCTCGAGAAAAGGAACCAGATAATGAGGGTTGGAGAAGAGCAAAGGGCTCTCATCAACTGAATGATTGTTGCGGTTAACAATACTGATGGTGAGGGCTTTAAGCCATGTGGTGCCTGATTTCGGCATGGTGGCCAAAATAATGTCAGACTCATTGGCTTTGAAATTCTTTTGAAAGGTTAATGTAGCTTGAAGTAAATCTGCATCAAACCAAACCCCTTGGTAATTAGCCAGCAAGCCCCCTTCTATCGGCTTCTTTGGTTGCAACCTTTGGAAAAACTCTTCAAAGTGATCATCTTTTTGCTCCACTTCAGTTGAAGATGACATCTCCTGGATTACTTGAACGAAAATCTCTATGTGTGTGTGTGTTTTTTTTTTTGGATTGATACCTGCAAATTCTGAGCCAATACTTATGTGCTGCACCAATTAGTAATGAAATGCTGAAGTTTATATAAAGATGATCAACTGTCCTTTAATATATTACTATCTAGACATCCAAGTTAGGACAGATCAACTCAACTGTGAATTGTGTCATTCATATTGTTACTCAAAAGTTTGCCACGTAATCATCAATCATACAGTCGAGAGTGAGAGGATAACCATACTTGAAGTCTTGTCATATTTAATTGGTGGAAAAGGATTCTATATTAGTTCCATTCGATAATAGAGTAGGTGCTTTAATGTGCGAGGTACCCCAAGTTAGGTAGTCATAATGTGTATCTCTTTCAAGTGCACCCCGATGTAAAGTTCTACCTTACAAAAAATTTTAAAATTGGTACAGTAAAAATTACTCTCTCTGTCCCATTTTGATAGTCCTAATTTTTTTTTCACACAGTTTAAGAAAAAGTAGTTAACTTTGTTGAAAAACAAATTTAGATTGCTATTTTCCTAAAATACCCTTACATTAAATAAAGTTGGCTTTTCATATATCAATATGTTTTGGAAAATCTAAATGCATTAAATGGGATAGGTTATATTCAATACTAACAATCTATATTAAATAAAATAGTTCATAGTAATGACAACTTACATTAAATAAGGGTATTTTAGAGAAATTAAAAGACAACTACATTCTTCAATTAAAAAGTGAACTACAAGTTGGGACAGACAAAAAAGAAAAACATGACTATCATAGTGGGACGGACGGAGTAATAGTAGTAGTTATTATTATTATTGTTTTTATTATTATTATATGCCGTACTATCCGTATTAGGTAGCGTAAAAACGAGGGGGGCGGCCGTTTGCTATAGCGGAGGGGATGGAATTCATGTCTTTTATGGAAGATGCCGGAGTCTTTGACGTAGGATTTTCTGGAGCTAGTTTCACGTGGTCTAATAATAGGAGAGGAAGAGCTCGGGTTTCAAAGAGGTTGGATAGGTTTTTAATCAATGGGGCTTGTTTGGATATCTCAAACGTAATTTCTGTGCTTCACCTACCTAGACACCCTTCAGACCATGCACCGTTGAAAATTTCATTTTCTGACCGATCAGATCATACCCCATGCCCTTTCAGATTTTTGAACGTCTGGACAACCAAACCCGAACTCTTGGAGGTAATTCGCCATGCTTGGAACCAAGATGTGGGTGGTTCTCCACTGCGTGTTCTGTGCTCTAAATTATTGGCAACGAGGAGGGCAATTCAATCTTGGAACAAACAATACTTTGGGAATGTATTTGATGCTGTTCGTTCTGCGGAATTGGAGGTCCAACGCGCAGAGGAAGCTATGGATCAATATGTATCGGAGGAATGCCAAATTCAGCTTAGCAAGGCTCAGGCAGAGTTGCGGCATGCATTGTCAATTGAAGAGCAATTTTGGAGCCAAAAGGCCAGAGTCAAATGGCTTAAACACGGAGATCGTAATTCAAGGTATTTTCATGCGGTGGTAAGACAGAGACGTGCTCACGGAATGATACACCGCATCAAAAAGTCAACCGGTGTTTGGGTGGACACAAATGATGATATAGCATCTGAGGCAATATCATATTTCTCTGACCTATTCACGTGCTCTCCGGAGTCTTCCTCTGATATGCGGCACCTAATCCCAACCATAATTTCAGAAGAGGACAATGAAAAATTGGAAGAAGTTCCTTCGATTGAAGAAGTCTATCGAGTCGTTAGCTCAATGGATGGCGACAGTGCTGCTGGCCCAGATGGTTTCACTGGCAAATTTTTTACATTTGCCTGGGAAGTTATCGCCCAAGATGTTTATAATGCAATACTCAGTTTTTTCTGTGGGGCAGAGTTGCCTCGATTCATCACATCTACTTCCATTGTGTTAATTCCGAAGATGCCAAATCCTCAGGATTTTTCTCAATATAGGCCCATCAGTTTGTGCAACTTCTTCAACAAATTATTATCCAGGATCTTAGCTGATAGAGTTGCTTATGTTTTGCCCAAAATTATTTCACCCCAGCAGACAGGCTTTGTGCAGGGGCGTAATATAACACAAAACTTTCTGCTAGCTCAGGAGATGGTTTCGGGTATTGGGAAAAAGAATAGAGGAGGCAATGTGGTAATGAAGCTTGACATGTCTAAGGCATATGATCGGGTGGCATGGTATCATATTATTGGTGTTCTCAGGAGGTTTGGCTTCGGAGAAATATTTATTGATCTAGTATGGAGATTGATCTCTAACGTCTGGTTGTCGGTCATTATAAATGGGGGATCTCATGGTTTCTTTAAATCTACAAGAGGACTCCGTCAGGGTGATCCTTTATCGCCTGCATTATTCATTATAGGGGCTGAGGTATTATCTAGAGGATTGAATAATCTCGCCATGCAATCGGGTTTTGTGGGATACAAAGTTCCGTATGGATGTCCTGCTATAACTCATTTGGCGTTTGCGGATGACGTTCTCATATTTGCAAACGGATCTTCTAATTCTCTGAAGGTTATCATGCAGGTGCTAGAGGCGTATCAAAGGTGTTCGGGACAGCTAATAAATGTGCTAAAAAGTTGCTACCTAGTTCATCCTTCCTTATCACCGGCAAGACGAAGGGTGATTGAACGCACCACTAAGTTTACCTGGCAATCATTTCCAATTCCATATTTGGGATTTCCGCTTTATTTTGGGAGATGCAAATCATCATATTTTGGAGAAGCGTGTCAGTCTATTCTAGGGAGAATTATATCCTGGAAATCAAGGATGCTTTCATTTGGAGGGAAAATAGTTCTAATCAAACATGTCTTGGCATCGATGCCAGTACATCTGATGTCGGCTGCGATTATCCCAAGTAAGGTATTTAGAACTATAGAAAAGGCTTTCTCGACCTTCATATGGGGTTCATCACCCGAGGATTCAAAATTTCACTGGATACGTTGGTCCCATATGTGTTATCCGGTAAATGAGGGAGGGGTTGGATTTCGGAAGCTACAAGATATCTATACAGCCTTCTCATTCAAACTTTGGTGGAATTTTAGAAAAGGTTTGTCTTTATGGGCTGTATTCATGAAAGCAAAATACTGTAGACATCTCCATCCTTGTCAGGTAGAAATCAAGGCAATGGACTCCGCACTCTGGCGAAGGATGGTCAATGTGAGTCGACAAGTGGAACTCTCAATACTATGGATTGCCAAAGACGGGGCTTGTAATTTTTGGTACGATAACTGGTTGGGAGGTGGTGCTTTGTTCCACAGAGCGACCGTTGTCCCTAATTTGTCTTTTGGTAATTTCATCATCAATGGTCACTGGGATGTGAATTTGTTATATCAGACACTGCCGATAGAAATGGTGCCCTCTATTTTAAATCACCCAATTCCAGAAGAAGGAGGTGAATCTGAAGTCATTTGGATGCCCACAACATCTGGAAATTTCTCTATAGCTTCGGCATTTCAGGATATTAGGCAAGCCCGTAACAAGTCTATGGTATTTGATACAATTTGGCATCCTCAGCTCCCTTTCAAAATTTCATTCTTCATGTTACGATTGATGCTGGGGAGACTGCCAGTTCCAGATAAGTTATGCAAACTTGGTTTCCATTTACCCTCAAAGTGTTTTTGCTGCTCTTCGGCATCTGAGGAATCAATCGAACATTTGTTTTCTAATGGCCAAGTAGCGTCGACAGTTTGGAATTATTTTGGAGCCTCTTGTGGTTTGTCTTCTCCAGGGTCATCTTTGAGGCCCCGTATAGTTGGTTGGTGGCTCAGCTCACACGACTCTGAGATACAACGATTCATTGGACACACTCTACCCAGTGTTGTTTGTTGGCAAATTTGGAAAGCAAGAAATAAAGCAATGTTTGAGGATGTCCAGATGAGGCCGCTTGCCATTTGTCATGCCATTTTCTTGGAGATCCAGACCATGGTGGGTATTCAGTTCAAACAAGTGTTCAGAGCCCAGTCATTTCATCATTTGTATGATTGGTCGTATTCTTCTCATACTGGGGTTATTTACAAACTTGTTCGTTGGGAAACAAAGAACTCTGATCGGTTCATATTAAATACGGATGGATGTTCCAAGGGTAATCCAGGAGTGAGTGGAGGCGGTGGGGTTCTTCGGAATTCAAATGGCATACCTTTGATTGGCTTTTCGACATATCTTGGGGAAACTACAAGTCTATGTGCAGAGGCTCGTGCCCTCCTTATTGGGCTTCAAACTTGTGTACATAGGGGTATTGATAATCTCTATGTTCAATCCGATTCTTTGATATTAGTTGCAATTCTTCAGAATCGCATTCAGTGCCCCTGGAAGATTCGCCGAGAGATTAGGCAAATTTGGCAGTTTGTGAAAGACCCTGATCGGTTTTCACATTGTTACAGGGAAGCGAACAAAGTTGCAGATGCGCTGTCCAACGTGGGAGTATTGCATCCAGAGCATCAAATCAAGCTTTACGAGGCCTTTAGTTCATTCCCAACTATGGCACGTGGGGCACTTCGCCTTGATAGATTAGGAATGCCTTCAATTCGGAAAAGTAGGCGTATGAAGGGCTGACAACAAAACACAATTGAAGCTAGTTGTGGCTGAATGGGACACGGAGGTTTTGTGTTTGAATTTTTACCTTTTAGTTGATTGCTGTACTTCAAACTAGTTTTTCTCGGTGTGTAAAATTTTGCTACTATCAATAAAAGTTTTATGAAATTTAAAAAAAAAAAAAAAAAAAAAAATCCGTATTAGGTAGCGAGGCATAGAAGCTAGAAGAACGAAACTTCTTGATGGCCCCTTGATGGCCCCAGTAACATTGTCACTGAAACTTCTTGATGATTGTTGCTTGTATTGACTAATTACTAACAACTTTGGTTCACGCTTGTCACTAAAATAGACGTGATATTGACAACTTTTTGTCATCACTGTAGGCTTTAAGTTTAGAGATACTAATTAGTGACAACATTTCATTGTCAGTGGAGAAGTCTAATTAGTGACAATATACTGTAACCGTGTAGTTTGATAAAGAAAATTATACTGGAATTAATCAATCCAACAATTCAATT